ATGCCTTGTTCCATGAGCAAATTATTTTAGTTATGGTTTAGGTTTCTGGCGATGTTTAAATTTCAGTCAGTCCCCAAAAATTCTGGCCTACCAAGTCGACTGACTCGGTGGACTCATAGCTAGTTACGGGCCTGCAGATGATGGTCAAATTCAGAAATGTTAACAACTTAACATCGTTTTCTCACTTTGATACATAATTGCTGGTTGACCACCTACTGCAGGTAGTTCTTAGGGACCTCTCTGGTGGGGGGTGGGGGGACAAAATTGCCGACTGGAGGGACCAGTAAGAGGGTTGGGGGGACATGTCCTCCCCAGTCTATATGTTGAAAGAGGCCCTGAATTAAGTACAGAAAGGTCTTTCTTTGCATGGAACTTCCCATGCATACTGCATTATCTTTCTCATAAGAGACCCTTAGTTTGACATTTACAGCAAACGTCAAACCGCTAATGATGATTGTGATTTAAATACGCTCATGTAGAAATTACACTAATTTTGTTACATAATAAACATCCTACACAAAGCTCATGACATTTAGCAATGATGATTATCAGAAAATTAGTTAGCGACTACTAACGTATTAGCCAAGACAGTAAATTCAGCTTTTAAGTTTGAGGTTATCATTTGCGGTATAAATTTTACACATGGATCCTGATACGTTTTATTTCTATTTTTATAATATGAATTTTAATACACATCACATACCCTTGAAAAAATTTCTGCATATTTTGACATGGCCCACCTTATGATTGCACTTAACTTTCGATGACCCATCCCTTCAACCGTGCTCAAAAATAGTAACCCCCCTATTTTTCCCAGTCCACCCCACCCCCTTTTACTTTATGACCAGTCCCTTAAATGGAAAGACCACATGAATTATCTTACAAAAAAAAATTAAGAGAAGTATTGGCTTGCTATCGAACATAGATACTATGTTAATGAAAATACACTGAAAACACTATATTCTACTTTAATTTATCCACTTATCTCATACTCTCTGGTTGCTTGGGGTAATAATTATTCTTCAACTCTTAAACACTTTTCTATATTACAAAAGAAAGCTATTCGTATTATGACTTTCTCCAATTTTGATGCCTCATCTAGTCCACTTTTTAAATCACTTGAACTATTAAAACTATCAGACCTAGTTTATCTTAGTACAGTAATGTTTATGTTTAAGTTTCAGAATTGTCTACTACCACCTGTATTCGACCAATTTTTTGTACGTGTGAATCAAACTCATTCAAAATTCAAGAAAGTTATTGTTAAGGACATTATGATGAAATACTAGCTTCTACCTCTTGCAATTATTATTTCTCTAGCAATTTTGATTTAATTAATGTTTTGACTGCGATTGAAATTATATTGAAATTTTCTGTCTGCCGCAAAATCATGATATAATCCTTATACGGAATGAAATAAATTTTAACAATGGTTGTCTGCCAGACTGCTTACTTTTTTGCTTCAAGTGTGCAATTTTGGGGAAATGAAGTCAGGTGCGCATTATGTATTTATGTAAGCACTTTAGACAGAATTATTAAAGTTTTTTTCATAAAATATATTTTAAAATTTTGATACTTTTTTACCGAATTTATCCTTAAAATCGATTAAAATCATTGCTTCGTGTTGCCACCTACAATTGCATTAGTACTCGGCTTCGCCTTGTATCTTCATATCTGATAAAACACTGCTGCTCATTGTTTTAAGTACTGTTTAATAAACGAGCAGGAGTGTTTTATTATGTTTGAAGACACGAGCGTGCAGCGCGAGTGGCTTTAGACATAATAAAACACGACCTGCGAGTTTATTAAACGGCATCAAACACGACTACAAATTCAATATATTCAATTTATATAAAGAATACTAATGAGGACACAACTACAATAGATACTGCCTTATTAGTATTCTTTATATAAAGAATACTAATTAGGAGTGTTTTATCAGGTTTAAAGCCACTGCACGTGACATATTATGGTTGACATGATTTGCCAATAAGCTTATGAATTATTAATGAGTATTTGAAGTAATATATACATGTTTAGTTTTTAAAATTGTCCCGGCCATGTGGCTAATGTTGTTAAGCAGCTTAACTGACTGTTAAGTAACATAATTATGTATTCAAGTAACTTAAATTCTCACACTAATTTATTAGTTCATAAGTATCACATAGTAAAATATTTCTTGTGTTTTTTTCAGTTAAGTAGCTTATATATTTATAATTAAATTCAGATCAGAGCTGCTATTATTGTAACACACAAGTAGGTGATGGTCATAAGTGTTGTAAATGCGCTAATAAAGTTCACCTCCATTGTGGAAATCCAGTCCCTGGATCAGAAGGATAGGGTCAACCTGTTACTCGTTTTAAATGTGTACCACATGAGGGTAAGCTCTTAGCTCCATTTCAAATTCGAGTACATTTAGAAATAAATCTAATATGGTGATGTGGGCATGATTGCCACTGACGCACCTGATTGGGGTTTTCACAGCTTGAATATTTCTTTCAGCTTCTACCCAGTGATTTACCTAGACCTGTTGATAGAAAAGTGAAACAAACTCCATCCAACAAGACTGGTGTTTCAGGTATGACACAGTATAAAATGAAATAAAAACGGTAGTTGGTCAGTATATTGGGCAGTTGCTCAGTCTTGTGGTAATTTTCGGCAGTATTGCAGTTTTTAATGACACTGCAACATACTACAATTTTACACTATAATTTATATAGTATACTAACCATAATACTACTAAATTTTATTGGGTACTTCCAGTTTGCTAATTCTGTTTTCTAGCTTTTGATGTGTTAATGGTTTGCAGTGGATCAAAAGATCCTAAGCCAAAAAAATATCAAAAACTAGGCCAAATTCCGGACATGAAAAAACTGAAGAAGCCATTTGTGTCACATATTTCAATGCAAATAAAACTAATTGCATGCTGAAAAGACATGTTCCATCATACATTGATCGCCATCGTCAGCAAAAAAAGAAATAGACGCAATATCATTTGGTGATTCCAGAGCAGTACCTATATTAAAGGCATTGCGATCTGATCCGCATGCTAAACGGTCTGGAAAGCATGTACTCGATAGTGCCGAAGATCCCCTTGTGGTGCCACCTAAATGCCGATGTACCACCTCAGAGTCAGATTGTACCGATTTGACTTATAAAAACACAATCCGTAGTGATGATACTGATGAATTTGGACAGGGTTCAGATCAGAATACAGCTATAATTACAGCATGCAACACAGGAAAAGAGCATACGAGTTGTGATTCTGATGCCAAAGGTAGGGACAAAAAAGTCACTGAGGGCTCCACTCATCAGTCATTGCTGGATTTATTCAGTGTTGCCCCATGGAAAAGTGGAAATGCAACCAAAGTAGTAGCAAGCCAGGACGCAGATAGAATAGACGAATCGGCAAAAAGTATTGACAAGATACTTAAGATTGTATCAACCAAACCATGTACTGATGATAATCTCGATGGTGCAACCTTGGCAACTGCAACTGTTGTCTCAGGAGGTGATGCTGCAAACCTTCAAGATTTTATTTCTGCAAATCGTGATTTGAGTATCAGCGAGAAGGATGGTCTAAAGTTTTTTACATGTAACATATGTGCGGCATATCTGTCAAGTCTAAGTTGTGTTAGGAAGAAAACTCAAGGAGAACGCCTTCTCACTGGTTCAACAAATGGATCTCTTTGTCATGGCCTGTATTTAACAGATGCGGACTATATTAGCTACACCTCTGGGAAAAATATGAAATGGTATCGATTAAAAAAAAACCTGGTCGATCACATTGCTGGCAAAACGAGCAAGACTCACAGAGATGCAGTCCAACATCACCATTTGCAGAAACCACTACGAAAAAGAGAGGCTTTGGTTGTCAAAAACCAGTTACGTGCTGCATTGACTGTCATCAAAACCAAATCTGCTGCTCTACACTATGAGAGTAACATATCTCAATTGTTTGCTGCTGGAGCTGATGTTGGAGACTATGGACAATCGCGTCATATGTTTGTCCCAATGTTGAAGGCAGCATGTCCATACATTGACAAAGAAGTTTGCAAATTTCTCGCGACTCCTATTCCAAATACAGGCATGCCGCCCCATTTTTATATCACTGGTGACAAATCCACCAATCATAGGGTTACAAACCAGGTGACCCTGATATGCCTGGTTGTAGGTGGACTTCAGCAAGCCATAGCCTTGAATGCTTGCAAAGTGTATCAAAATTCAGATGGTTCTGGTGGTACTGGTCCTGAACTGGCAACGGAAATGATCGAAGATGTACAGGTCCATGCAAATATTAGTGGTCAGGCAATTCTAGCCATGCAGGGAAAGGTTACTGATGGTCAGTATATCAACGCGGGTTTTATTAACACGATGAACCAGCCACTGTTTGATGAGCTTCCAGTTGACCTCCAAGATAAATTTTGGTGGCCTCTTCAATGGCCTCTTCAATGGGATGGTGGGTTTGTTTCACGTCTTTTGTCCAGAAATGCCCTCATACATTCCCTATTTAGCCATGGAAAGATGCATTCTGTTGCGTACGAGACTGCCAAGGAACTTAAGCTTCCATTCAAGACAACTGTCAGTTTCACCAAGCAACGCTTTTATGAGCAGCAGCTAAAAGCAATTTTTGAAGCTGGAGACATTGATTGAAGCTTACATGAATACGTTCCGAGACCACGACAATCGGGAACTGAACGAGTACAAGATTGCTGATCAAGATTTAATATTCTACCTCCTTGGAGTGATTGACCTTTTGTGGCCACTAGTTTTGCTTATGTTACGTGCTGGAAGATTGGTGCTTGGCTTCTCCTGGTCACAACTTGGTTGAAGCTATTTTCTACCCAGGTGATGAAAAAAGAACCACTGAAGAAGTCGGCTTCTCCACGTCTACACAAGCATGGCGAAGACATCGCAAATTACGATAATATAAAGAAATCGATCTCATTGAAGGCTGGTTAGTAGTGAACAAGGAACAAGGGAAGTCGGTTGAGTGGAAAATGAGAGAATTGGAAGATTGCCGAAATGACCTTACAGATTTGACAAAAGCAATGATCCAGACTCTGGAAGAACGAAGTGCTGCTGGGCTTCCAGATTTACTCTACACCCTGCAAAAGTGGCTCGATTTTGGAGTATTATTTACTTCCCTTTGTGGTGAAAGGTCAATGGAAGGTAAGATTCCTGTCAAGCGATCAGATGTGATGTTAGTCGATCAAATCAAATTCAAAAGATGCGTTTCTTTCGTGGCCAAGCTTCCACATGTTCAAAAATTGGTGAAGAATGAAGACCTGGAGCTAGATGGGTCATTTTGCGACTTGATCTTTTGGAAATTGAAATCCTTTCAATTCCCAGAGACTTAATCTGCTCGCCACAACACTTCGTATATGTCCTTTAACGATTTTATTGGCATGATCTTTAATCAACATGACAACACTCTCATCTTCCAAGTCACTTGGATCTTCATTTTTCACTTATTCCTCTGTATTCCCAAGTTGTTGAATGCTTTCATCTATTGCCTGTTGCACAGCGCTATTCTCATCCAAGCCAATAGGTCTAAAAAGATATGGAAATTAAATTCATTTATAACAGAGGATATACCCCTTCTCAAATAAGCTTCATGCAAATGTGTCTCAAAAGAAACCCCCATACTGGTTGCAAACAAATGTATCAGTCAAATCCAAGCGTGCCCATCTCCCCCAGGCTTTTGCCAATTTTTTGAAATATCCAAATTTTGAAATATTTTGAAACCGCTTGTTTTGCCCTTTCTCACACAAAGGCACTTTGTAATTCCTTGCCACAAGAGCAACAATACATTTTTTTGAAGATAAAACAGTATGTAAATTTGCGAACAAATGCAAATTGCGACTGCCAAACAACACATGTGGTTTGAGAAGAGAATAAGAGATACAAACAAGGTACTAATGGGACTATTAGGGTGTTCGCAAAGTGTTCCTACATGATCCGTAATGTTTGCAGATGCAACATCTTGTTGTGCATTGAGAATAAAATATATTTGCATATCGAGTTTTCCTATTCACAGTTTGCATGAAATTTAGTCAGATGTTGTGAGATATGTTGTGTATTTACCGAATATATTGTGTACTGAAACATATTTACTCCATTAACATATTTAAAAATTAATGGAGCAATAGCAATTAATAACATCTTAAAAGTGTGAGATTTAATTCTCAGATGGCTCCCACGAGCAGCTGTGGAAGGGCCATATCCTTGCCACTTGATGAGATGGTTAGCACTATTTTCCATCTAGCAAACCGCCCTGCATTTTTGATTACTTTATACTTTGCATTAATTATCATATCGCATAAATTACATATGTTTATGCTAAATGCTTGCAAGATAAATTAAAGATGGCGGACAACCGTAACACCACTTGGAGGAAAAGAAATTAATTTAAAGAAACCAAAACACATGCATTGATACATAGTGCTTCTGGTAAGTAGTACATTATTTTAGTTGGAGTTACATCAAATCATCAATTTATTAATACGTCCATGCTGTCAATGTAAACTGAAAATGTGCATAAAGGAGCCCTCTTAAGTCTTAATTTTATTTACAAACAGTTTATTTAGGTTTTTATTTCATTTTGTGACCGAACGCACTTCATTAATCTAAGAGTACTACTAGTTTAGGTTTTTATTTCATTTTATGTTAAAAGCTTGATTAACTTGTCTCTTGATCAAGTTTATTTTACTCTAGAATGATGAAAATATAAATAGTTGTGGAAATAAAATTAAATATTTTGGATACCGAAATGTAAACAAAGCCTTTGTGTACATACGGACTGTACTGCATCTTTAACTTAAATAGTGAAATGCTAGTTGGTAGACTAGCTATTTAGCAGTTATTCCATTAACCCAAGTCATATATTAGAATAAATCTATCCCGTATATTAGAATAAATCTATCACCGCCAAACGTCCAAAAGACTAAAAGTCTAAAACCAAGTTGAAGGGCTTGTTACCAAATATGAACCCAAAACTTTCAACCTTGTAGGTGAGAGCTGTAACCTAATAC